GGAATGCTACAGATAAGTGATTTTAAAAGGGAGATCACTAACAGAGATAAACAACCAGCAAATAAAGACAAATCCCCATCCCGCAATCTGTAAAGTTTCTTACACAGAGTAAAAGCTGATACATTTCAAAGACCTTTTGCCAAATACAATTTCTTTCTATAAGGATGCCATTTGGAAAAATGTCAGGATTTTGGAGAAACTAAAGGCAACTGAGGGGTGAAAAGGGAAAGAAACACTGAAATCAACTGAGTTTCAACTGTAGGAAATTAAGTCCTCTGTTTGTTTCTCCCAGTGAATGATAAAATTGAGACACAAAAGGCAGGATTTGTTCCCATTTGAATTAATCATCTTTGTAAAGAAGCTTGGACTGAAACCAGCTTGACTTTAGGTTTGCAGTTATTACTACACAAGGTCCTAAATGTGGGGGTTTAGCATGAGGGAGGCACTAACACACATTAGGATATAAAGGTACTTGAGGAAGTACAAACACAGCATGAATCCACATTACCTGGACGATCAAATGAAGGTTTCCCATGAACCTGCACATCTGCTTTAGACTGTAATCTAAAAAATAATTAATGTGACAGGAGTACTTAACAAAAGTGACATTTATACCTTCCTGGTTCTCTTCTCCCTTCAGATTCTCTGTCACTTGATCATTTGGGGAGTGCATTGGCTTTGGGCTTTCACCTAAAATTTCATGTCATAGAAGGCAGAATCACTATTTTTTTCCAGCTATAAAAGAGCATTATACTGCAGGTTTTCTGCATCTAGTCCTCAGGCAATCTGCTATGCACATCACTTGGAAATCTAAGCAAGTTTGCTGAACTCATCTGCTCCCCCTGCGGACCCGATTCATGGTTTTGGGCAGAGTGTCCTCTAGCGGCCACCCAACCCAACCCAACCTTCCAAAACCGGGTTGTAAAAGGCCGAATTATCAGTTTTAGCCTTTATCCAACAACTGGCAGCTGAGATCAGAGTCCTCCGTGTGAATATGACAGCTTTTACTTCCAGTTTGAGATGTCAAGCGCATTAGAAGCACATCCTCCATGTGCATCAGACAACACGTGTTATGTTAAAGTCTTCATGACTAAAGTTCTGTTGATTGCTCCCCACATAATCTCTGAGCTCTAAACCACCCCTCTGCAACAATAACAACAACAAAAAAATCCCTTCTAGGTTTATTTCTATTGCAGCAGGAGAGCTGGGCCAGGCCTCACTCAGGTTTCCTTACGTACCGTCTGGAATTGTATTGCAGCGCCCGGCTGTGCCACGGAGGGGGGCAGCTTCAGGAAGGATTGATGGGTATTTGCCCACTACTCTGTAGGCATGGGATCTTCAGCCAAGTCAGCAGATTTAACAGCAGCCATAGGGAATAATCTGAGTGCAAAAAGGCAAGTGCTGCAACCCCCACATTTACTTAGAAGCAGATCTTTCCTTGAACTTGAACCATACCTCTCCCACTTTGCTTATCTCCCCTTCATGACAAATGGGATGATTGTGGGATGTTATGAAACACCAGCAATCCCAGTCCCCTTACTCTCACATTAATTTATCTGATTTTCCATCCACAGGAAAAATTGTTTAAAAAGGAGCGTGCAGCTCTGAGCAAGAACCAGAAATTAACTCTTGAGCAACTGGAGTTAAAGTCAACCCTTGTGTTCCACGCTCCAGCATTTCCAGCCTCTTCTACCCAGGCTTTTCAGACCTGTAGAATGCAAGGAAGTTTGGGGGTTTCTCTCAGGTGTATTTCTCCCTCCCTCCCTCCCCCCTTTGTTTTAACTATCAATTCTGTCCCAGTAGAAAGACTTCCCTCAGGGGACCTACCCCCTCACTACATCCCAGGGAACTGTGATGTTTTACGTTTTGCAATGAAGTGAACATGAACATTATCTGACAAATTTAATTTCCTCAATACCATTTCCATGACACATCCACAGCTTTCCAAAGCAGAAAAGGATTTTGTTTCAGCAAGCATCACGTGAAGGAAAACATTAACGCTGAACTAATCTCCTGTTATAGCTGGTAAAAGGACATTTATCATACACACAGATGACAGGAAGAAACACACAGACAGGCAATTATCCTATGGAATAAAGGTTAACAGATCCATTTAATTAGCAACAGCTGTATTTGCTGTTATGATCAGTTGACTACCACAGCTGAAGCCAAAATATTATCCTCAGTACCACAGAAATGAAAGCCTTGAACACACCTCTCAAAAATCTGCATTAATTAAGCACTGAAGCAGAGCCCAGGGGACAAGAGGGGAGCTGCAGGTCAGAACGCATGGAATAAACTCCTGACATGTTTGGTTTAGGCAATTCCTTGAAGTACAGAAATCAGCTGAATCAACTCTGGGTATCTGTTGTCCACAGGTTGATCAGCCAGGTAAGTGAATTCACTCTTTAACTGTTCTGATATACACTAAGTCCAGATCAGTTGTGTGTGTGCTGATTCCAAAAATTGTCTTGCACAACTGCATTACATAAAGGTTTGGAACTCATCAGCTGGGCAGGTTTCTTTTGAGATTATATTCTGAGGAGTTCGCCTAAAACTTTGCACCTGCACCAAACGTTTTTTCTAGTGTTCTAGTGTTTTACCCTTCAATTATGGAAATAAGTACTTACCTACAAAGTATTCTAATCACAACATGATGCAAAGCCATGTTAAGAAGGCTAAAAAGTCTTTACTGAATTTATTGATACAGAAACACTTATTAATAAAGTTTAAATTGTGTAACACTTCTGCATGCCTCAGGCCAATTTAACTCTAGTTTCAATACAGAGATTTTTCAACTTACACACTCATGATTAAAGCAGCCTGAAGTTCAGTTCTTTTCCAAATTTACTGCAGGATTGAAACCTAAAAGGAGTCACAATAAAAGTGATGACTACTTAGAACACAAAAGGAAACAAAGCAGGTACAATTCCTAGACAGCTTACAGACCATACAAACTCAGCTCTAATACAATTCCTCTATTAGAAATGCCTACAAAACTACAGTGCAAGTGCTTGTGCACAGGGAAAATGTATTTACAGTTCCCCCTTATTTACAGGCTATTAGCAATACTATTTCACAGTTATATTACACATAAAATTTCTACTATGTGTTTGTTTGGACCTGTGTTTTTTTTTTTTGGACAAGGGGACAATTTGACAACTTAGAACATAAATTTCCTGTATATATATATTTATTTATTCAACTTCATCCAGGAAAAAAATAGCAGTATTTATGCATCTTATAGAAAGCTACAAAAATCTAGCAAATGTAATAAAAAAGGCAAATCTGGTGAAAAATCCAATAAATTATCTTTTACAACTGCGGCTGGGATGGGGAATAAAAATCAAACAGGGATAAATAAAAGATAATTCTCCCTCAACTGGTCAGCTCTAAGAGAAGCTCAGGAAGGCTTACTAGTAAGAACCTGAAGTTTAATGTCATTTTTAAAGGAACTCTTTTAAAAGTTTAATAATTAAACCAAAGGATGACCTGGTAGCCAAAAGCAGGAGGCACCCTGAACTACAGAGAGGTGTGAAAATTGTGCCATAATACACAAAGGCACCTGGTATGACACCTATTAAGCAGAAACATCTAACAAATACAGAGAATACAGAGAGCACAGAGAATAATGACACGTAGAAAAAGCCTCTCTTTACCACCATATTCAGGATATTCATCTGTGGGAAGAAATCCATTGCAGTTGTCAGAATTACACGGTGGGTACGTGCACAGGAAACCATCAGCTCAGTGGCCACAGAACTGCCCCACTTAAATTAGAGAAATAAAAACCCAAGGGAGCAAGCTAATTTGGGGTGCCATTTAGACCAGAAGTGGAAACTTAGAAAACCAGAGGCAAAACACAGCCTGTGCCAGTGTTATGTGCCCGCAGGCACACGATACAGTATTAGATGATACTGTCAAAGATACACAGAACTCCTATGGAGCAAGGAAGAGTTCTTCACCTGGGGCTCAGGCATACAAGAGTTATCCATTTATTTTCAAAGCCACACAGAACTTTGACACACTATTTATCATGAAGCAAGTTGTGCAACTCGGGACCATTAACCGAAAACCCGGCGTATTTTTGGCAAGACAGTCTTTCTTTCATTGCTCCTCAGAATGAGGAGACAGCACATACACACAAAAAAAAAAAAGATACCAAAGTGATACCAACTTTAATGCTTCAGATGGGGCAATGCCTTAACACAGCTGCACCACCTACTGAGAGGGGGCCTTTCATCCCCTCCAACTTGAGGAGTATTTCACATCAACACAAACTCAAGTTTCTTTCCAGCCTTTACCAGTTTAGGCAGATTTTTCAAACAGGCTGAACCAAGTAAAACTCTTTCTAAACATGGTACTTTTTGGCCACAGACACTGTGGACTCCCCATCCCTGGAATTATTCAAGGCCAGGCTGGATGGGGATCTGAGTAACCTGGTCTAGTGGAAGGTGCCCCTGACCACAGCAGGGGGTTGGAACGAGGTGGTCTTCAGGGTCCCTTCCAACCCAAACCATTCCGTGATTCTATAATTTCATGGTATTTCCTTCCAGCACCACGACAGGAAGACTTGCAAATAAAAATCAGAGCTCACACCCACAGAACTGCAGAGTGTCAAGTCCTTCCACGTGAGCCTATTAAAACACATCTTCGTTGCTGCAGGAATGAAATAATGCACCAAGCTGAGCAACCTGGTTACACACACTGTATGTGGAACTCGTGTGCACGAGTTGTATTCCAGTCACCTCACCTTGCCACAGCAGGGGCACACACAGAACACCTAAAAACTGCACCAGTCTGGCTTTCCAGACTGTTTCCAGGTTCTAGACACCCTCCAGAAAACTATATTGGGCTGATTTACCTCTCAGGCTGGCGCTCTGCACTTCACTCTGCTCAGCCCGGATGATCACAGTTATCTAACACGACAGCAAAACCCCACAGATTCTGCTTTCACAGTCAGTTTTCACAAACTCACTGCTCTGCAGCTCCTCTCTACCCTCTTCCCCATTCAGAATTACTCTGTAAACATTTCCAGAGACCACAGTCCCAGCTCTGACAACCCCTGCAACCTGTCAAAGTCAAGCAAGCTTTGCAATTCCTCACTTTGCCTCCCTTGCTTTAAAAAAAAAAAAAAAAAACCACAAAAAAACCCCCAACAACTCATTCACTAGAACAGGTGGTTCCCATTATGAAAACCAGTATTCTGTAAAACACTTTTACTTTTTACTGAAAAATTATATATAGTTTATAAGCAAAACAGAGCAACCAAAGTGGAGCTGATGCTTTCCTTCTCATTCAAAACCTGGATGCCACAAGGGTAATGCCAAAAATTTCTTTCCTTTCTGTAAAAGTTGTGCTTTTTCAGATTACTGGAAGAAACTAGATTGGCCAGGTCAGGTTTTACTAATAATCTTAACCATCCATTAAACACACACCATGGCAAACCCATGGCAGGTTTAGTGGGAGAGAGCACAGACAGGAAAGGTCTTTGGGGAACTGCTTAAGAGTTTTTCAAAACTGACATTCAGTAGAGAAGCCATGAAATTTTTAGAGTGTATCTCCGTGCAGTTAGTTTCAAGGGAATTAAATCCTCCTTTCCATAAGCAGCTGAGCATTTCACCGACTTGCTTCCTAAGGAATCCCTGCTGTAGGATAAAACTATAGCACACAACTGAGAAGGACAAAGAAACTCAAAAAAGCTATAAATGTTGAAGTTTACAGCAGCCACATTCCCCAGCCTACTGCCTCGAGTGGTCACATTTGCAGGCAAGCAAGTGGTGTACATTTGTCAAGCCCTAAGAAGTACTTTATTTTCTGCCTAATTCGCACTCTCTAGAAGAAGGAAACTACTTCTCCCTGTAATAAAGCAAGTAATACTTCAAGGGATCGGGCAAAGGCAGACTCAAGACCTTTTCTCTCAAAAAGTTTACAGGAGGGTCTGGCTTTAGTTCAGAGGGTTTGGTTTCTTCCTCTTCCTGCCTCTCCTCCTCGATGTCCTCGCTGTTGTTGTTATCATCTGACGGGCTGGAGATCCGGCTGGCGAAGACCTCTTTGTCCAAGAAAACAATGGTCTCCATGCGCCGGCGACGGACACGCCTCCGTTTAAATCTCGGGGGGTTCTTCAGCCCGTTCCCATTTTTGCTCATCGTTTCCTGATGAATTATTTTCTTAATGGTTCCTCGGATGGCGATGCGAGCCAGGTCCTGCAGGCTGCGAACGGCCACGGGGGCTGGAACGAAACAAAACCCGTGAGCAGACACGGAGAAACTCCCCCCCCCCCACCTTCCAAAAGTACTCACAGGAAAAGTTCTGTTTGCTCAAATTAAATCAGGCCATTTGAAATCCCTGCTGCGATTACACAAACAGCTCTATTCAACTCCTGTCAACTCAGATAAACTGCACTGCAACTTTCCAAACAAAATTTAATTGCGCATTTGTCTCATTAAAAAATTTCCCTGTTTTGATCTCAAGTTCTCAATTATTTTAAGATACACATCTTAAAGATCATAAGAATGCAGACCTAGCAACCAGAACTGTGACTGTTTAATTACTTAGAAAAAGCTACTTTCCTACTGTAGATAACTAGACATGAAGTTTATTTAACTCCTCCATAAAATGATTTTTCTATTGAGCTGTTACTTCAGCTTTGCCAAGTTCTGTATTTATAAAACACAAGTACTACTTATGCTCTTCAAAAACTGCTTCAGACTTACTTAGTGGGAGAAGACAGGATGGAAACCATTTTGTAGAAGTAATTATAGAAACATACAATAAGTTACTGTACTGAAATATCTCCCACAGTAATGGTTTGTAAGACTGTCCTGTCTTCTGCACGTATGTGCTGCCAGCCCATAAATACACGACATAACTCACAGAGCACAAAGAAAAAAATGTATTGATACACACACACATTCATGAACTAAAATGAACTAAAACTGAAACAAAAAATCCCTGTCTTCTACCTAACGACTAAGCTTTCCTGGGACCTGAAGGAAGCAGAAAAAAATTACATGTAATATATGTGCAGGTCTCACTATAAAGCAACCTACATACAAAACATGCTGAAACATGCACTTAGTGAACTTTCCAGCACAGTATGGATTGTTCCCCGAGCTCCTTTCTGTCATGCAGACACCTTTCCAGAATAAGACCAAAGCCTGAGTAATCCCTTTATGAAGGTATCTCTGTCTTCAGAGGCCTCTCAACCCTGAAATCCTAATCTAGAGATTGAGGCCACTGATACAACCTGCACTTCAAACAGCCAACCAAGGAGTGCACAACTTGTATCCCTCAAGCATTCCAGCTTCAGGATAATTCTGAATTGCTGTGGGGTGAGAGCCTTTGAGTAGGTATTTTATTCACAGGTCCTGCTTGTGTATTTCCCATTGAGAACCACGACAATACATAATTCAGGACTGAATTGTCTGCACGTGCAAAAACAATGACCAAACATCCCTCAAAGTTCAGGTACAATTTCACAAGAAATCATTTGTATTTGGAATGATGGTCTAGTGGAAGGTGTCCCTGCTCATGGCAGGGCTTTGGAACCAGATGATCTTTAAGGTCCCTTCTACGACTCCACGATTTAGAATCTATTTTATGCAACTCCCATTCCTGCACGAGACAGACAACTGTTCAAAAAGGAAGCACTTGGAGTAATTTTCCTTGAAAGGATTCCCAGGGATGTCACACAGCTCACAGCCAAACAGCAGAAGAAACCTCCCCCATGCTCAGGAATGTCTGTACTCACGCAAGTGAACAAGCCTTGATTTTCCTGAATCTGCGTGGTTTGGCTGAATCAAAGGAGCAAAAGAAACAGCAAGAATCTTCTTGGTCTCCCAGGCAGAAGGACCAGTACGAGTTATCTTAGTCAACTAAACCAAAACAAGGAGATTATTGTCCATTGTGTGAACTACAGTGAGATTTTTGTACAGAAAAAATGAACAAATGACTTTTCTGCCTGGACAAGTGGTTAAAGTACTGGAAGCTACAACAGTAAAAGGTGATAAGGAGAAATACTGGTGGGGTTTTTAAAAAAAAAAAAAAAATAGGAACCCAAGTTCCTATTAGGATTAGCCCCAAGTAACTTGCAACAGAGCAAGGGCACTGGCAGTTTGGGACACTGCTTCCCCAGACCTTCCTCCATTCTGGGCCAGAGCTGCTGTGTCTGATGCCTGAGAAAACTCAGTCACCAATGAACATTCACTCCTGAAGAGGTCTGCAGATCACTGGATTTATGTTCCAGCTCAAATTTCTTGCTTTAACTCACTGCACACCATCTTACTGGGAAGGAACCCTGACAGGGAGAAAAGGTCAGACACCTACACCTCAGCCCATTAAAACAACACATCCTTACACCAGAGAGATAAAATTGAATTGCAATCTTGAGCTCACACATGGGGCTCTTGCCCACTTTTTACTAAAACTCTGACACTTGTAAGTAGAGACATCTTGCAGGCTCTTTCACAAGCCAGTTAGGGATATTATTTTGTCATCAAGCACAACACTAGATTATGTAATTGAACAAAGCCTTGCTTACATTTTCTGCAGCATGAAAGTAAAATTGCAATTAACAACAGACTTCAATATGTGAAAGATTGGTAGAACTATAAATTTCTTAAATATTATGAATGTGCAGAGTTCAGTTTCCACTCATAGTGAAAACCAGTGCACTTAATGCTTTCTTCAACCTTCTACAAGGGCAAGATAAAGGAACAGTTATTGACTAAATCAAGATCAAAATTAATAACTGAAACAGAAACAGGAGAAGAAAGGCACTCAACCTTCTCTTCCAGAGGCATGACAAGAATTCCCCCAACTTTCAAGAGGTTCTTCATGTAGTCCTCGTGTTCCTTCTGTACTCCAGCACCACAGTAAACACGGTCATACTGAGTGCAGTCCGGGGAAATCTCTAAACAATTGCCAGTAACAAAGGATGGCTCACAAAATTCAAATCTGAAAGTGAAGACGACTTGTATCAGACAAGAATAATACAATTTATCCAATGAATTATCTTCAAAATTCTGAAAAAACTAAACTACAAAAGACACTTGAAAAAAAACTCTTAGTTTTACAGGATTTCTCCTCCAAAGCCCACATATTCTAGATATTATTGTAACAGAACAGAGCTAGAAGTCTCAAAACCGCAGAACAATGAGGTCAGAATTCATGGATTAAACTCTCCAAAGGATAAGGATGCATAATTTCATACTTGAGACGCAGGGAACTCTTCAGAACAAGCTATTTTTAGTCACCTGATGCTGACTCAATTATAATATGCAAATATAAATATTAGACCTCTGATTGCAGACAAAAAAGTCTTTTAAGGACTGCACCTGGGTTTATTGTTGCAGTTTCAAAAGCTGGCTTTCAGATGTGGGGAACTATCACCTGATGCTCCAGAATTATGCTTTGCTGAAGCCAATGGAAGTTTTGCCATTAGCTTCAAAAGAACTGTGATTTTACCCTTCACAAAAAAAGGACCTTTTGCCTACAGCATTTCTGACTCAGTGTAAAAAGAAAAATGAATGATTCTATGATGCTTCTGCTTTTCTTACATGCTCCAAAACTACATCAATTTTAAGCCCTACATTTATGAAGTTGTACAATACATCCATTCTTCTACTGGTATCTTGAGTGGCAGCTCAATATAGCATCTATTTATTCCTAAACACTTCCTGAAGCTTTCTGGTTTTGCAAAGCGTGCTGGACATTCAGAGCAGCCAGTGAACAGTTCCTGCACACGGTGTTCCAACAGCACAACCCAGCAGACATCACTCAGCAATGCCAACTTTCCAGTCATGATGATTCCTGAATTCACAGCTCACTTTTGCTCCATAGCTATATTTGTCTGGAGAGAGAAAAAAAGTCTTCCTTAAAGCATCTATTTAAACAATAGCAATGTGACTCTGAAAAAAACACCCAGCTGAGCACCATCCACGCCAAAAACCATCAGTCTGCTGCCAACATCCAGAAAATACAGCCCTCTCATCAGCAGCTTTCCAGTACAGCAGGAGCAGCACAAGGCTGAGTAGTCTAAAATCCAGCATGTAATGACTTTAATTTTCTTCCTCCCAGGAGGGGAGGATATCAGGTATCCACAGATGCTTCGCTTCCCCGTCTGAACAAACTGTGCAACGGATCCAGAAATATGACAGCTACAACTTTTACTGCTGAGGTTACTATTGGCAGTGGTTATCTTGCTGGAAAGTTATTACTTGTGACAGCAGCAAAATGGAGGTTCTAAGGAAGAACATCAATCAAATCCCAAGCAGTTTTAGTATCAACTTAATCATCTTAAAACTACCTCCTTATTTTAAAACGTCATTTTTCTTCTTTTCAGATAAAACATATTAGGCCACCACAGAAATCAGTTCATATTCTTCTCCTCACCATGCACACTCCCAGACCACAAAAAGAACAAGTATAGTTAGTTAATTGCAAGTTTCGAGCTCTTACTGCAAGTGCATTTCAAAACAAACAAACTTCCTCAGCTCCCTCTAAGCCCTGCAACATCAGCCCTGCTATTGAAAACACAGCAAACACTTCAGAAACTCCCCCACAATACACACGGGCTGCGAAGGTCACACACTGCAGCTCAGCAAGCCTAAGGAGCCCGAATCCTCAGATTACCCTGAATCCAGAGGGGCCACATGGGAGCCAAGAACTGCCACGACTAAAGCCAAACGCACAAAATTAACCCCAACAGGCATTTTGCTCTCACTTGTCGAAGCTGTCGCTCGTTTTAATGAAGAAGTCCAATTTCTGCTTCGCGTATTCGATCACGTCCGAGTGAAGCTCCACACCGTGGTTAACACCAAAGGGACCTGCAAATGTGGAACACCAGGATAAAGGTAACAGGCAACACCAAAAAATCCAGCAGGATTAATACAGTTTGGGTTACTTCCCGGAACAGATTTTTCCCGTGAGTGTCAGACAGTCAGTGTTTGTGTAGGGTCAGCTCTCTTAGCACTACAATGGGAATTGCAACCCTATACCTGCAATTTCTGGCAGCAAATGAGCCTGTCTTGCACAATTGATTCTGACTCATTTGCTCTCAACTATGCAGGAAACTTCTCCATAGCAGGGAAGCACTGCTGCCGTTGCTGTAAAACCTGGAAAAAAAATTCCAAGGCAGAACAACTGCCTGCAAGTTTTAATACATCCCTAAAAATTTTTCATATTATTTTTAAAACCCCTTTTTGATATGCCAAAATCTTTGCAAAGGAATCAGGAAAAGTCATCATCCACTGTACCTCAATTAACAGCAAAAATAAACTGGAAGATACAGAAGTTGTTCAGCACTTGTGTTTTTTATTCAGAACTGACAGGGTAATTTTTGAAAAAATTCAAAAGAATATAAAAGCCCTGGAGTTACATATTGGTATCCTTGGTAATCTCAACAAAACTAGGAGAAAACCACAAATGGGAGATGGGAGCGACACTCTACCCTGAGAACAAACACCTCAGCAGTTAAAATTCTTGACACCCACTAAAGGGAACTTTGTACCCTACAGCCATTTGCTACCTATCCTGGCAGCACAGCTCTGACTGAGACACCCCAGGGTGAATGGAAAGGGCACAACTGCACTTGGGTGATTTGCTTTGTGTCACTGTAGATGTGGTCACAAAATCAGTTTTGCTGCACTCCGTGTTTTCCAGAGAATATTCCCACCCGTCTGCTAGTAAGTGTCAAAAGTGGACCTCAAACATGTCTCAGTCTAAACAGCACAGTGTGGTGAACAGAACCAGGCACAGTGCAGGTGTAGTCACAGCTTTCTGTGGACATGCTTAATCCTGGTTTGAGCTTTGTACTCCTGATCCTGATCTGGGGTCATCTTTAGGAAGAAACTAACCCAAGTTCATGTTCCTGCAGGAATCCACTACGGCCACCTCTGGAAATACATCTGTGCCTGTTCTGATCCGCCACAGAAATCTGGATCCCACCTGGTTCCAGAGAGAAGGCTGCAAGAATCCTGATAAACAAGCTGGATTAATGCATTCTTTACTTTCCCAGCTATCTTTTAGTTCCATTACTTGAGGGATGATTCATTCCAGATTTCAAAACATGTTTTTCAAAATCTAACGCAAACAGTTAACACAATCGAAAAGGTATTTACCCAAGATGAGTCCAACCATAGAACTCAGATAACCAGTGCCACTGCCAAGGTTCAGAAATGACAGCCCTGGTTGCAGATCCAAAGCTTCCATCACCTCAGAGTAAATGCACGGTGCTGAGAGATGAATATTCCCATGCTTCCATGCCAAGTCCTTGTAGGCATTGTCTTTGAACTCTTCCAGGTAGTAATCTGCTCGATCAATGGCTCGGAAGGCCTGTTCCACCAGTTCTGTCCTGATGTATTGTGCTTCCTTCAGGTTATCAATTAATTCATCGTTATCTTCTCCCGCACTCACTGCGCCTCCCATCTTCAGCAGTCTCCTGTAGATACTAAAAGTAAAAGAATAAAGAAGGGTGAGGTACAGAACGTGCACTTCAACACTAAATTATGCTGCTGTGTGTGAAGTACTTTGAGAGAGACCTTTATGTACTCCCAAGGACCACAAGCACTGGAAAAAACACCACCAGCAGCACTCCCAGCCCCCATTCCAACAATGGAAAACAAAATGCAGCAGATCTGGCATCCAGTACCTGACACTAGTGGGGGGGTGGGGAGGAAGAAAATCACAATAGGCAATTTCAATGTGCAAGTCCTGTCTTCAAACGCTCCCAACGTTTTACCAGCATGTCAGCTTTTCCACTGAACCCTTTTATATAAAGGATTATTCCAGCTCCTGTGCTTGTAGGTCATTTTTCATTGCAAGCCCAACCAACAGTGCAAGTTTGGCCTGTCTGTCAGAATTCTGGTCACCAGCAGACTTTCTATCTCTAAGAGCATCAATTAAGAGACTCAGACACAGGCAGCAAATCCAAAAAAATCTCAAATTACATTTTCTTTGAACGTGCATCAGGACGTTGATTTCACAGAGGTTAAAAATGCCCAACAACTCTGATCCATCAACCTTGCTTACTTTAGCAAATAAATGCACTTTCACACAGCTCATCCCTAGAGCTTGAGCCACCCCCATTAGTAAAGCACTTAATGATACAGCAACTGCAGAGAGAATTTCCACTGCAGCCTGTGGAATTTCTTGGGTCCTCTTAACCCCTAGATGAGCTCACCTTCAATTTGGTAACTCCTGAGTGACAAAGATCTCTGAATTACAAACACTTCTGACTTCACTGAGGAGTTCATGGACCTATTCAGGCTTGTGGGTGTGGGGTAAGGAAAGCAAACACTTTCCTTGATGTGCATTACACTACACATGGTTATAATGCTTCATGTAGTTAAACAGCTACAGGTTTTAAAGGAAAAGGTATGAGGGAGAAGAACACAGAAGAACTTATCACTCAGAATTAACCTAAGTCTTCCCCCTTTCTCATATCTTAAGGAAGAAAACATCCTTTCCAGAAAACCCAACATGACTCTCTCAATGATTTATTTACAATGCCTTTCCCTGCTCACAATAATAACCACAGAAGCAGCAGCTTTGGAGTTCATTCCTGGGATCAGAAGATCTGCCTACAGCAAAATTGCTGCGAGTTTATTTGTTACATTCAGCAAGAGCAAATTATAGACTTTCGTTTTCAGAGGAAACAAAGAAAAGCTGCAGGACTCCAAGGAAATTTCACAGTTATTCAAATAACATGCCATTCTGATTACCTGGAGAGGCACACAAAACAGGATATACTTAGGCAGGGACCTCGAGCCAGTTTTTAATCCATTCATGTCTCAAAACACATCAATCCAGTTCAAGACCATTAATAAAACCTGAAATAAAAAGCCACCCCTCTCCTTTCAACAGTGACTCCTTCATTTTCTCTCCAAAAAATGATTGTGTTTTATTACTTCACAGTGGAAACACATCAAGTTGAAGGCTCAAGTGGGTTAACCTATCAATTATTTCCCCCCCCCCTCTTACATACTCAAAACCTCTGTGCATTTGCACATGTAGGGTTGCCTATATCTTTGTTCAACACATGTTTATGTAACATTCCACATTAAAACACTCTCTTTCCTGCGGGTATTGATTCCCTTAAGTTTCTTCTACATATTTTTATTCTTAGGCTTGCTTATTTCTTCCACTCTTTCTGCTATTAAAAAAAAATAAAATCCTAATTTTTAGGTTTAAACTAAGAATACAAAGTTGTGCCTTTAACAGTGTTCCACTTTGGATCCCCAATAAATTCCTCCTCATGTACGTGAGCCCCACTGGGGCAACTGGTCCGACCTGGTTTTAGCCCAGCTATATGAACAAGTGTTTTTCCATGTTCTACAACATGGAATACAACAACAACTGTTGCCTGAAACATTTTTTTAACGAGATCAAGGAACATCCGAGCTGTGACAGGCATCAAAAATAATCAGTTTTATTGGACATTAACTTACTTCCAGTAAAATTAATGTTTTATGTGCAGATCTTCTGACATTCAAATTCCTCTTAATGTAATTCTATATATCTCTTTAACTTTGTGGGAACCAAGACTGTGGGTAGGGCTTATTTTTTAACAAACTTTTTTCCAAAAGAAAACCCTCTCCCTCCACAACAAGCCCAGCTGGAATTTTTACGCAAAACCAAGAGATTTCCACAAATCCGAGCCAGGGACAAAGTTCACTGCGCAAAAATTCGCTGCTCGCACAACACGGACCCCAAACCCAGCAGCGTTTTGGTGCTGAAACATCCCCCCGGGAAAAACACCCCCTTTTTAAGAAAAACAAAACAGAGAACAAGCAAACGAAAAAACAAGAAACGAACAAACCAAGAGAGAAAACAAACAAACAAAAAGCAGAAAACAAACAAAAAAGCAGAAAAACAACCCAAGCAACCGGCCCCACGTGAGCAGCTGCATTCAGCCTGAAACCAAATCCTGGAATTGGGGCGATCCCTCCCTCCCGCTGCAAACAAACGCCGGCGGCTGCTCGGGGGACGGCTCCAAACAATGCACGGGGCGCACAAACGCAATTCCTCAGCCCCAGCAGGTCTCCAGGGCAATCCCTGCTCTGCCATAACGCGCTGCGGGAGGAACAGCAAAGCTGGGGTTATTTATTGATTTAATAAGAAAAGAGGCACCTGAGCGGCCGCGGTTCGGCTCCGCTCGGCTCCGTTCGGTTCGGTTCGGCTCCGCTCGGCTCCGTTGGTTCGGCTCCGTTAGGTTCGGTTCGGTTCGGCTCTTTTCGGTTCGGTTCGGCTCTTTTCGGTTCGGTTCGGCTCCACTCGGCTCGGTTCGGCTCTTTTCGGCTCCGCTCGGCTCACCCCAGGCCGGCGCGCTCGGGGCTGTAAACACTGCCCAGCTGAGTGCCGGCCGCGCCACTGCGCAAGCGCGGAGCGCACCACCGCCGCGGGCTGGGGGGGGGGGGCGCGTGGAGCACACCACTGCTGTGCCCGGCGGGGGGCGCCGTGCGGGCCGTACCATGAGGGGCCGGCGCGGAGGGGGAGGGGGGGAGGCGGACAGGGCTGTACCACTGCGGGGCTGGGTCCGTGCGGGAGCGCCAGGGATGGATTCCGGTGGGATTCTCCGTCAAACATGGGGAAATCTGCCAGCAGCTTCTCACAGAACACACCCCTGTACCCCCCACCCGCCCCCGCTGCCAAAACCTCGCCATGCAAACCCAGTGCAGCGTACCAGGAGCACACACAGACTAGGAGTCCCTTCTGTCCCATCTGTCCTGGGAACATCTCCCACTCCCAGTGTGGCTGGTTTCCCCCAGCCCTGTGCCCTTCCACCCTGCCCTAATTGCTTGTTCCCGACACGGGGCTACATTTCCACACCTGCTGCTTCGACTCATCTCCCAGTTCTCCCAGTTCTCCCAGTCCTTTAATCCCCACAGTGACAGCACAGTGCCCCAGCTCCCGCTGGGATCAGGGCTTCCCAGGGCGTGGGACGGGATAAGAGGAGCTGGGGAGATGCCAGTCAGAGCTGGCACACACAGTCCTGGCGCTGGAGCTGAACCAGGTGTTCTGATATTAGTCACTCTTGGGGAAAAAAATCATGGGAACTTAGTGAAAAAAAAAAAAAATAAAAATCTCTGTGAGAACCGGTTGATATTCTTAATTTTGAGCCTGTGAACACCTAACTTGAGTTACATCCTTGAATTCTGTTTGTTGATTTGGTTTTTTGCTGCAACCATAAATGCCAGGTATGAATTTACTGAGGAGTAAGTGAGCGAGATGCAATTCACCTGATTCCAGGGGCTGAGCCTTGAAGGAAACATGGAGTATTGTAAGACTTCACAATATCTGACTTGCCATTTGTGTAGTGAGGGATCCCCTAACATGATCTGAGTGTTAGACACCTAATTTAAATTTTACCTACCCGTGTAAGCTCACTCAGTGGTTGTAACATGGCAGGGCCTGACAAGACAAGGGGAAAAGGTGTCTCCTGTGACCTGTCTCAGACTGAGAAAAATTATCCTCTAAAACTGTGCGTTTGTCTTCATGTTCAAGTGACCCACACAGCTCTGACTGAGGCTGCAGATCAAACAAAATTGTCTGGACTGGCCTTAGATCTTCATGGACTCCATACTACACACAGCTGCAAAATGAGAAGGAAGAACGACATCTAAACAAGAGGCTTCTTGATTTAAGTTGTCTGGAGATGAATTGTGGAAAAAAGGCTGTCTTGGCAGACACAACAAGCCCGCAGTGAGAAAAGAAAATAAGAATTACTCTGGTAAATGAGACTCCAATAGGAGAAAGTGAATCAGCATCCGAGATTTATTTATGCTTTAAGGTGATTATCTCAGCTGCCTTCATTAACGTGGTAACAGCAGACTCTGCAAACAGGCAGCGGGGTAATTCTGTAGATGTCTGCACTTTCATTCCGCAGAAGACAGCTGCCTGGGAGAATGGGATTATTGGTGGGAGAGCGAGCACTGAAACTCCTCCTTGCTGATTCAACCAAAACAGGCCGTGGTGATTGTGCTCAGGCACAATGGGCAACACAGCAGAAACTGCAAACGCAGGACAGACAAACTCCTTGCACGTGTGATTCCAGGGCTTCCATTGAGCATCTGCTCCCCTTGCCACTAGCAACACTTGAAAAATAGCAGTTATTTTGTGGTTTGGGGGGGGCTGGTTTCTTTTTTTTGTTGTTGGTTTGGTTTTGTTTTGGGTTTTTTTTGTATGTGTAAAATTTATGAAAATAAAAGCTGGGTAAAAAAATTCCCTGTTATTGCTAGAGCACCTGCAGTGTAGGCAGAGCATGCAGGGGCAAAGGGGAGCACTGCTTGTGCCTCTTTCTTGCAGCAGCAAGTCCTCAAGAAGCCCAGAAAGCCCTTGAGGAATGTTTTAGGGATTCCCAAATACCCTGTGCTGTCCCAGGTGTATTCATGAGTCCTCCCAGCCCTAAACTGCCAAGACCGATGAGACTTGCAGCTTCTCTGTTTCTAGACAGAGAATTACAGGAATTAACCAGGAGAAACACACAGGGAAGATACTTACCCAAGAGACAGGTTATTTTCTGCACCTCTATCTCATGCACATCTCTGCTCCACATGGCCCAAATCCCTCATGCCAAGCTGTGCCTGTGCAGACGTTGCCACTGCTCCGTGGGCTCATCCCCAACTTCCCACCGGCACCCCCTGGTTCTGCTCCCCCAGGGGCTTTTTCCCACCTACCTTCTTCAAAAATGTAGTTATTGCTGAGAACACCTTCATGTATGTCATAGCATTGGGGTCCAGCTCTGGAGGAAGCCAAAAATTGTCTGATAAAATTGCAAATTCCCCCACACACACACATTTAGCAAAACAGAATGGTTGACTATTTCATGATTCCATGGGTCTCCAGCTGCCAATTCTTCGTGCTCCTTCTTTCCCTGCTCTTTAAAAACACCTTCCTTTCCTCCTTAGAGCTCACCTGGGGCTTTGTTAGCCAGGAGTTACAGTCAGTGGTAGATGAGTAACTCACTCCTGCCTCTGTGCTGTCCGTAAATGAGTGTGGGCAGCTGCCCCCGGCTTGGAGAGCCCCTGCGGACTCCGGGAGTGGGAAAAGTGGAGTGGGAGTGGGAAAACGGAGCCTGCTGGCGCTTAAATCCCGACGTTACTCTCTCGCAGCCGTGTACCACAAGGTGTCCCCAGCAGTACAGGCATTGCTGCGGGGTTCGGAGGTTCCACCTCAGCATCTTCTCCGGGGCTGGGGCAGGGTAGGGACCCTCACAGGCACAAGTACAACCCCCTGTCCCTACTCTCAGCAACCCCCAGTCTTACCAGAGAGAACCAAGTTTCCATCCTTTGTTAGCTGAGGGAAAGCCGAAGCCAAGATTTTTCTTGCCTTTCCTTGTCTCTATTTCCCTGTGTTTTACAGTTTCCTCCTTCATTTTTTTCAAACCAATTTCCTTAATAAGCATTTTTGAAACACCAGTCAGAATGAATTAACTTCTGAACTCTCTCGTAGTGATGATCAGTTAAAATGGGATGTTTTTATTTATTTGGAAGGTCAAATAGTAAAATGCATTTTAGCCCCCAAGCCAGGGCCCAGCAGACTGAGCTGACCTGCAGCCTGGCAATACAGATGGTTGTTTAAGTCAACGGGGTAATTAGTGAGTGACAGGAAGACTCACATAAATTAAGAGCTGTGGGAGCATTAAATCACGGGGTTATATTTTCCCCATTTTTTCGTTTTGTAAAATATGCTGTGTTGCCTTTTCTGGTCAGTTTGGCACTGTACCATTTCCATATGCAAATACTATCTGTGCATATGCACACATATGCATATATGCAAATACATGCAGACTTATGCGTTTATAGTGGTATTATTATTAACACACCGACAGCAAATCACTTGAGATCCTCCTGCCCGTGCAAAGGGGATGTGTGTGTGTGTGTGTGTCTCCTAAAGCTATTCTCTTGCTTCACTTCATCCAAGGGCTCTGTGAGCAATTGCTGAAGCAAGAGGAAGAGCATATGTCTTGATTTCCACTGTATTGCACTGTGCATAACCACTGCCACTTGGAAAAAGGGCTCATAAAGACCTGGATTCATCTCACTTAAGTGTGTCATTAAAGGAAAGCAGCCAGGAGTTGGTGCAGCCTGGCTGAGAGTGGGAGAAGGTGTCACCAGAGATCCATGACAGTGAGGACGTGGAGCAACGAGGTGCTTCATCTTTTCATGGTGTTACCAGGAGAGTCAGTGAGCCCCGCTCTGTGCCCTGTCTCTCTTCTGTCTCTGCCATGATTTAGGGCACAACTGCCAAATAAAAATCTCAAAAATCAAGCTTTTCATATTTATGGGGTAAGAAAACGATTCCTGGGTCTTTTAAATGATTCATGGATTAAATAAAATCAATGGATTTTATGGATTCATAAATAATAAAAATGCAACCAGATAGCAACCATATCACACTTCCCTGCTTTGCCTCTGGCAGTTCTACATGTCCTGCCTGCAAACTCACCTGTTGGGCTGAGCCAGCCACATTTGTCCATCTCCCCATAAAGACCATGGGGGCTCATCTGTCCTGCTCAGAAGGCCTTTCCAAAACGTCCCTTCTCCAACAATAAGAAAACGTCTTCAGATTTCCAATGGGAATTTATTCCTGGCCAAGATGGACCTTATTTGATCTCCTACCCATATTATCCTCTAACATAAATCATTCCCCTTCCTCCCACCCTGAATGTATTTATGAAGAGTAATCATATCCCCTCTTAACCTTTGTTTTTCTAGGCTAAACAAGCCAAGCTCTTTTAATCTCCTCTCCTAAGATAGGTTCTCTGTTCTGCTAATCACTCTGCCAGTCCTTCCCCGCACCTGTTCAAGGATAAATTAATCTTTTCTTTTTCCAAAGAGAGGTCCCAGAACTACCCACAATATCCCACATGAGGTCATACCAACACTGGTACTGGTATTTCTCTGCATCTACCAAATAAATGCTTTGTTGCATGAGACTTTTTACACAGCAAATGGAAAATAGATGCAAATCCATGAGCTAATAACCAGAACACAACCTTAACCATAACAGAACCTTACTCAAGGAGATTGCTATTTCACTTGAAACAGGCATTCTGCTGTTTTGCATTTGTGGGTCCAGGTCCTTAGCTGGCCTTATTCAGTGGTTTTCCATATTTCATTTACCCCAGATCAGCATCAGGACCTTTGTATTAAAGGTGGCACTGAGGAAAGTCTTGTCTGTGTTTCACTCAGCCTTTACTCTGGCAAAATTCCCTTTGAAATCACAACTGAGGGTTTGAACTACGAAGATGCAGAATCAAATGATGAAAAGCATTTTGCATTCGTCTCTTCTCTTTTCAAAATGATTTTCCAGTTTTACTTGAGGTTTAATTAAATTTCTGTGACCCAGGCAGGGAGTTCAGCT